TCGTTGAGTACGCTTTCTCCGAACACCATTGCGTAGAGATCAGCGTCCACGTGCAACTCGCTGAATATCGCCAGCACCGTCACTGTAAGACGTTGTTCCGGTAGGGAGAAAACTATTAGTTCTGCCCGTGACACGCCAATGTATCAAGAATGTTTACAATAATAAAAACTGATTAAAGTGCTCTAAGGACTTGAAATTGAACATATAAGGGCACGACGGTTGAAGTTCAATTGGCTATCTGAAGGTCTGTAACCCATAAAGCGATAGCTCGTTGATCGGATACTACCATCATGACATATAAAGGTTCATTAAGTAGACTGCCACCAGATGATCGATAAGTAGTGCTAGCGACAAAATCTGCCAAAGTGTTGAGCGTAAACTATACACTATGTGTAAGTCGTTGGGCGCGAGCGACAGAACTCGAGATTGTACAGAAAGCAGCGTTGTATGTGCGAAAGAATTTGGTGGCATTATGACCGGAGGCTCCTATACGATTACTTGAGGCATTTAGAAATCAGATCGATCGCCATTGCCACTACTGCACAAGACGTAGAAGGCGTATACTAGCAGACTATCTATGCTCATTAGCATTGACATATACTTCATAAATGCACGTATACATATATGCAGAACATACCTGGATCTACGGCAGAGATTAAAGCCCCGAATTGCAGACAATCGTGAATACCCAGGACATCATACAGGCTGTTAATATCTAGCCATACAATGAAGTATGTGGCAAAGCCGATGAAAAGCGTTGAGATGATAGTCCCGGCAAACGCAAATAGAAGAATCGGACCAATGTTGCGGAAAAAATGTTTTTTTTGTACCTGAGAGTGTGTACCAGTATTATCGTTATGAAAACCACGACCAACTCAAAGTCTATGTAGTAATTTAAATCGATGGCGATTCTAGTCTCTCTCAGCTTCTATTGCTCCGTATAAACTTTTAGCTACCAGCCCTTTCATCCCTTTGTTGCTAGATCATATTAGCCTGAGGTTTCAGGCTACTTATATAGATCTTCTGTAACCACTACTGTCTCACCCAAGGCTATCTCAAGATAAAATGTGCGACAGAAGGGTAGCGGTAATCGAAACGCAACCCGCCAGGATACCATCATCAGTGCAAAGCTCACACACTCAAATCAATAGTCCAGGGCTTCAATAGCAAAAACTATCCATACAACAGTGATGAACGCATTGAACAAATAGAACAAGCTCACGCTTCCGCAGTTTCATCTGATACAGACGGCACGAGTGACCAGCATGGCATTGGGGTTGTATCTACGCATTTGACATATATCCCTATATGCACGATCCATATTCACACACCAAGTAGATCCTGCAAAATAAATACCTGGTACCCAGCAGCAAATATAATCGGTGGTAGCAACATGTAGAAGAACAAGGCAGGCTCAAACGTTGTACTTGCTTCTAGTTCCTTTGTGTCGCTCGATGAATAATGTATGATAGCTCCGGCGATGATACCTGCGGCAGTAATAGCAGACAAGGAAGCAGCACATACGGGGTGGATAGAGGTTATGAGAAAAGAGGATGTTCGCCCACCCAAGACATCGAAAGCCTCGATGCTGAGGCCGAAATCAAAAGTGCAATTCCTGTTAGTGGTCTCTGCATTCGGTGCATCCATTCGAGCAGGAAAGTGGTACACTCAAAATGCCTGAAACAGTGGGAGGCGAGAGCGTATTGTGCTCGAACCCACGCTGTGGTTGGCTGTTGTGATGCAAATGGCACCACGTTAAAACTGCGAGCATATACCATAATGGTTCTTTCGCACTACATACATACCGTATACAATGGACATGCCCGTCTCATGAATAAATCGAACGCGGCATCGTTTGAACTGCCAGATGGTCACGATAGTTAGGATGAGCAAAGATACCTGCAACAAGAGGGCCGATCAATTAGATAATGATATACACGACAGAGAAGCACCAATAGTATATATATATAGGTGCTCTGTATGGGTTGATGACCAAGAACAACTTCATGTAACCTCTTGCCTACCTAATCTCAACCACAAACCAATAGAAATAAGAATAGTCTAATGACAGCTCGGAATCGATGTTGTGCACGTACCCCAAGGAGGACGGCAGTACTCTGAACTGCATGCGTCTCTTCAGCTATATCATCTGTGATTTTATTGATCTGCTCTCCAATAGCAAAGCCCTCCTGTTGGCTGGTCATTTCGCCTTCGTTGCCCGCAACGGCAACTGCTTCCGGTCCTTCGGTGGCATCTTCTTCTTGCCTCCATGTTTCAAAAATGTTCATATATGAACGATATTAGGCAAGGCAAATACGATCATTCATACGCAAATCTAATAAACAATCAGACTTTTGAGAAATTTGAAATAGACCACCGATAATATACAGAGAGCAATAGGCATGCTGAGAAATTTGGCTTGCGAAACAAATATCAATTTCGTAAGAACATATACCTATATATATACACACACACACACACACACACACACACACACACACACACACACACACACACAC